GAGTTTATGCAGAAAGATAGTTAAGTTAGACACCACAAAGGCCTTGTAATAAATTTCTTATAACCACTGTTCAGTCTGGTGTATCCTTTTGACCCATGCCAAATTCTAAGAACTTTAATAAACATCTATTCATCAATGAGACATTTAACACTATGTACATACAGCTATTTCTAATTGTCTGATTAATGCCTCTCCTGGTCAAAATAACCTTTGTTTAACATAATTGAATCTATGGAATTTCCTGTACTTTACTTTTTTGAAATATATTTTATTGACTATGCCATTATAGTTTTTCTATTCACCCCTTCATTCCCCTCTACCCTGCACACCCCTCCCCCACCGTTCCCCCCTTTAGTTTATGACCACATGTCTCAAGTTCTTTAGATTCTTTATTTCCCCTACTATTCCTGACCTCCCCCCTATCTATTTTCTATCTACCGTCTATGCTACTTATACTCTGTACCTTCTCCCCCCTTCTCCTTCTCCCACTCCCCTGTTGATAACTCTCCATGTGATCTTAATTTCTATGGTTCTGCTCCTGATCTAGTTGTCCTCTTAGTTTGCTTTTGTTTTAGGTGTGGTTGTTAATAACTGTGAGTTTGCTGTCCTTTCACTGTTCATCTTTTTTATCTTCTTTTTTTTAGATAAGTCCCTTTAACATTTCATAGAATAAGGGCTTGGTGATGATGAACTCCTTGAATTTGATCTTATCTGAGAAGCACTTTATCTGTCCTTCCATTCTAAATGAAAGCTTTGCTGGATAGAACAATCTTGGTTGTAGGTCTTTGGAAATCATGACTTGGAATACTTCTTTCTATCTCCTTCTTGCCTGTAAGGTCTCTTTTGAGAAGTGTACTGACAGTCTGATGGGAACTCCTTTGTAGGTGACTGTCCCCTTATCTCTTGCTGTTTCTAGGATTGTCTCCTTCATTTTAATCTTGGCTAATGTAATTATGATGTGCCTTGGTGTGTTCCTTCTTGGGTCCAAGTTCTTTGGGACTCTCTGAGCTTTCTGGACTTCCTGGAAGTCTATTTCTTTTGCCAGATTGGGGAAGTTCTCCTTTATTATTTGTTCAAATAAGTTTTCCACTGGTGGCTGTTCCTCTTCCCCTTCTGGTACCCCTATCATTCGGATGTTGAAGCATTTAAAGATGTCCTAGAGGTTCTTTAGCCTCTCCTCATTTTTTTTGAATTTTTGTTTCTTCCTTCTTTTCTGTTTGGTTGTTTATTTCTTCCTTCTGGTCCACTCCCTTAATTTGATTCCCAGTTTCCTTTCCATCACTGTTGCTTTCCTGTGCATTTCCCTTCATTTCAATTAGTTTAGCCTTAATGTGTTCCTCTAATTTGTGACTAAAATCAACCAGTTCTGTGAGCATCCTGATGAACAGTGTTTTGAACTGTGCCTCTGATAGCTTGGCAATTTCTTGTTTGCTTAGATTTATGGGCTCTGGGGCTCTGAGTTTTTTTTCAGCCATGTTTTGATCTGTTCGCACCTGTTAGGTATGAGGAGAGGAGCCTTAGATGTTCACCAGTGTGGGGCCACCCAGTTTGCTGGTTTGTGATGCTGTGTGTGGGGGCGGGGTCAGTGAGGGAGTAGTAGTGGTCCCCTCTGCTTCTTTCCCCTGCTGGGGCCTGCACGGTCTGTCTCACTGCTAGCTCCTTCACTGGTTTATTGGTCTGGCTGAGTGGTTCGTTGTTGTTGGACTTCTGTATTGTTCAATTTTCGGTAGTTTGGCTGTGGTTTTTGTGGTTTTACTACAAAGTTTTGTGGTAAAACTTTGTTGTTTTTAGACTTGGTTGTGCGAGAAGGTACAATGTTTCCACCTACGGCTCCATCTTGGCAGAAGTTCGAATTTCCTGGACTTTTCCTAGTTACCTTTATATTGATTCTTTCTGCTTAACTGATCATGCCATGAACCTGTTCCTTTAATGTTACATAACAATCTCTATAAAAATGGAGCTTAGATCAAACTCTGGGAATTCAGGCAGATCCACAGAGGCTGGCTGTTTTCCATCATCCAGTTGGGTGTCTGACTCTTCATTTGTTGCCTGTACCGTCCATCCTTCGGGGACCCTGAGACCTGCCGAGGCTGGACCCTGGCAGTGTAATATAAAAATCTTGCAAACTACTATTTTTACCAGCCTTTTTCTTATTATTTTAATATATTACTCCTGCATGTTGTAAATTCCACTATGTATTAGTATTATGTTTGCTTTAAGTGGTGAATATTATTTCAAGGAAATTTAAAAGCTTGCTCTGGTTGGTGTGGCTCAGTGGATTGAGTGCAAGTCTGAAAACCAAAGGCCTGTGAGCCAAGGAATTGCCACTTGATTCCCAGTCAGGGCACATGCCTGGGTTTTGGGCCAGGTCCCCAGTAAGAGTGCCTGAGAGGCAACTACGCAGTGATATTTTCCTCTCTTCTTCCTTTTCCTTTTGTCTAAAAATAAACAGATAAAATCTTTAAAAAATAAATTCCGCAACTTATTATTATTATTTGTTGCTTTAAGTGGTCAAAATTCTTTTAAGGAGATTTAAAAACTTGCCTTGGCTGGTGTGTCTCAGTGAATTGAGCACCAGCCTGAAAACTGAAAGGTTGCTGCTTTGATTCCCAGTCAGGGCACATGCCTGGGTTGCGGGCCAGGTCCCCAGTTGGGGGTGAGTAAGAGGCAACCAATTGATGTATCTCTCAAACATCGATGTTTCTCTCCTTCTCTCTCTTCCTTCCTGTCTCTCTCAAAATAAAGAAATTTAAAAAAAAAAAACCTGACTGGTTACAAACCTCCTTATACTTTTCCTTAGTGAAAGAGGTTACCCCATGCAAACAACCTGTAGAGTGTGGATTATATATATTTTTTGCTTTCAACTTTTATCCAGTCTGTACAAAAGGCCTACAAGGAGGGGTCTAGTCGATATTTCTGGACATTAAGTGTGTTCTAGGATATAGATTGGGCATTTTGGAAGTTTGTAGCTTGGTACCAATTTATTGAATATTCCTGGGTGAGGTTTCACTTGCCACTGGCCTGTGAATCCCTGGGGCGTACTGCAGTGGTTAGTACAGTGGCTAAGCAAACTGATGTCATGCTAATTGCCAAAGTTTGGAACTCTTCCATAGTTGGAGGCTGCTGGTTTTATTGTCCACTTATTAAATCGCTAAGTGAAGGAGATTAATCACTGGAAATTCAGTGAAACAGAAAACTTTTAATAATACCCTTGAGTATTCATTGATGGCAAATTCAATTATAGTCATTGGATGATCAATTCAAAATCTTTTGTCAGGTAGATAAAAATCCCGAAGCTTTCAAGCCTGAAATGCGCCGCGTGCAGAATTTTGTGCTTCACGATTTTACAGTCTAGGCTTCTGTAACATGTTGTAAGAGGAGAAATAAATCATTAGAGGAGGTCTGGGAGTTTATGGTAAGTGTTTGAAGCCAGTGGAAAATCTATTTGCGACAAGCAAACCTTTAAAAGTGAGTCAGAGTTTGATAGTTACTAGCTCAAGTTGATTGGATTACAGGAATTTTCCTGTCTTCTTTCTGCCTCACCTCTATTGTTAGTTATTTAAAGTAGATGTTGAGGGAGGGGGAGAGGACACAGTGAAATCTTCAAAGGAAGTTTATCACTTGAGAACAATAAAGGAGCAGTGGTCTTCTTATATACCTGAACTTTCCTAAACCTAAACCACATTCCTATCTTTAAGATAATTACAAGGAAGGTAATTTTAGTAATCAGGGTTCTCCAGAGAAAGGTAATGTATGGGATCTATCTATCTATCTATCTATCATCTATTTCTCTATCATCTATTCCTGTCTCTATCTATATCTATTTATCATCTAATCTATTGATCAAAATAAATTATAAGTACGGGGAAAGAGAAAGAGGGAGAGAGAGATTTATTTTAAGGAATGGGCTCATGAGATTGTGAGGCCTGGTTAACCTGAAGTTTTGAGGGCAGGCTGGCAGACTGGAAACACTGGCAGGAGTTAGTCTTATAGTTGTGAATCGGAATATAGTATGGAGGCAGAATTTCTTCTCCTGGAAACCTCAGTCTTGTCTTTTAAGGCCTTCCACTGATTGTATTAGGCCTACCCATATTGTGCAGGGTATTCTGCTTTTCTCAAAGTCCGCTGATTTAAATGTTTCACATTTGAAAAAACACCCTTACAATAATGCCTAGGCTGGTATTTGGCCACACAATGAAATACCATGGCTTAGTCAAGTTGACAAAGAAAATGAACCATCACAATAATTACAGAGATAAAATTATTACTACTTTGTAATGAAAATAAAATCAGGTGACTTGCCCAAGTCACAGATATGATAGATGTATTCATTAAAGGAGTAAAAAGAATCAGAATCCAAGAGTTTAGATATGTCAATTTACAAAGTAGGTCTTCACTCCATAACATTTATTACTTCAGCAGGAGAGCAATAGAACTGGAGACTAACTTCCTTTGATTTGGCACAACTCCTTAGAAATTTGTATATTTTCTTTTCCCCCAACTTTACTGAGATACGACTGACAAATAAAAATTGAATATATTTAAGATAAGAGTGTGATGATTTGATGTATGTGTACATTGTGACATATTTACCACAATCAAAATACTTCTTTATTTTCATGATACAAAATTTAAGCTTAAAGTTAATATCAGGTCATATGTCTTAAAGTATGCCATTTATTTATATTAACAAAAATACTTTTCTTCTGTAATAAATGTGTTTTTTGGAGTCAGTTCAAGTGCAGTTCTAAAGTGCCATGGTAATTACTGCTTAAAATAGAAATGGCAAGTAGGCTTAGTTCTGCCATTCTTGGCAGAGAATGACAAAGGTATTGAAAAGGACACATGCAAAATTACAGAGAATGAAAGGATTAAAAAAATACAAGCACCAACATTAAAAAGGTGCAGCTATTTAAATAGAAAACCAGTTACCAATGTCCAAAGCAGAGTTTTTAAAATTTTGTATTTAAAAGTATTTTGTTTTGCTTATTTCATTTCAGGAGGAATTATGAAAGACATGGGTTAAAGAATATCAATCAGCTGAATTACCCCTGCATAATAGGAGAAAACTGGTAAGTTTTACCACCTCTTTACCTGCTTTGCCTGCCATGTTTGTTGTGGGCTTGCACCTGTGTTCACATATGTTCATGGTGTTCAGCAAGACCCCATCTTAACTACTTGTCTGAAATGTTACATGAGTGTGCAGTGTTTAGAAGTTTAATAGAAGGCCTTTTAACCTATGAGAAGTATTTTAACCTCTTCTTTGTCTTCTGACTCACTGTGCTTTTTCATTTTGTTGCTTTCTATGAGGGCACCAATAAATATACACCACATATACACACATTCTCCAAGATTCCTCAAGATGCCTAGGGTTCTGATTTGTCACCTTTTAGATTTTGCCAGAGCACCTGTTTCTTTTTTTTTACTTATTAAAGAAGTCATAGAGTTATGGAGTTTGGGGGTTGGGAGAGATCAAGACCAGCACTTCCCCCTTTCTCTTTGCATTTGAATCCCTAGCACAGTTTCTGGCTAGGCACTCACAAATCTTTTTGTTTTTTTTAGATTTTTAAATTTTAATTATTTTTCAACTACAGTATTGTGTCTTTTACTCCCATCCCAGCCCACCCCCAGTGCCCCCCACCTCCCTTCCATTTCCACCCCCCCTTAGTTGTTGTCCATGTGGCCTTCATACTAGTTCCTGTAAATCCTTCCCCTTTTCCCCCTGAAATTCCCTCCCCTCTCCCCTCTGGTCGCTGTCCCCCTGTTCTCTATTTCAGTGTCATTGTTTTTATTTTGCTTGCTTGTTTGTTTTGTTGTTTAGCTACCTGTTAAAGGTGAGATCACATGGTATTTGTCTTTCGCCTCCTGGCTTATTTCACTCAGCATAATGCTTTCCAGTTCCATCCAAGCTGTTGCAAAGGGTAGGAGCTCCTTCTTTCTTTCTGCTGCATAGAATTCCATTGTGTATATGTACCATAGTTTTTGGATCCATTCATTTACTGATGGGCACCTAGATAGAAACATCTCAAACAAACAATCTAACCCTACGCCTGCAAGAACTCGAGGAACAACAACAAAGACAGCCCTTTGCAGTAGAAGGAAGGAAATAACCAAGATCAGAGCAGAACTAAATGACATAGAGATTAAAAGCACAATTCTAAGGATCAATGAATCCAGGAGTTGGTTCTTTGAAAAGATAAACAAAATAGACAAGCCTTTAAGGAGGCTCATCAAGAAAAGGAGAGAGTGGACACAAATAAACACAATCAGAAATGAAACAGGAGAGATTACAACTGATAGCACAGAAATAGAAGGGATTGTAAGAAATTACTATGAAGAACTGTATGCGAAGAAATTTGAAAACCTGGGTAAAATGGACAAATTTCTAGAAAAATATAACCTTCCAAAACTCAATGAAAAAGAAGCAGAAAACCTGAACAGACCAATAACAGCAAATGAAATTGAAGCAGTAATCAAAAAACTCCCATCACACAAAAGCCCTGGACCAGATGGTTTCAGAGGAGAATTCTACAAAGCATTTAAGGAAGGGCTAACCCCTATTCTTTACAGGCTATTCCAAAAAATCCAAACGGATGAAAAACTCCCAAACTCTTTTTATGAAGCCAGCATCATCCTAGTTCACACTTCTTTATAGAGCAAATGTTTAATATGACACAACCATCTGAAGAGAGAATGAGTCTCTTCTACTAGCAGATGGTCATTCAGTCTTTGTTTATTTGTTTAAGCAAGGCTGTAATTATTACCACTGAAATAAGCATGTCATTTCTGTGCTCTGAAAGCCAGCATACAGATTAGATTTGTGCCTTTCTGGAGAAGAAATGGAAGACCACAGCTGAGTTACAAGAGCTCTGCTCTTCTGTCCTTCCTTACTCTGTGTCACTCTCTGGGACACAACTCACCATGACTGCCTTCTTGGAAAATATGGGAGAGATGGTGTTGACTGCATGCTCTGTATGCAGAGAAGAGGACACCATTTAGCTCTTGGCTTAAAAACAGCGCTGGCTGCTGTGGCTCAGTGGATTGAGCACTGGCCCAGGGGTCACCGGTGTGAGTCTCAGTCAGAGCACATGCCCGGGTTGCATGCTTGGTTCCCGGTGTGGGACGTGCAAGAAGCCAGCACATATTGATGTTTCTCTCCCTCTCTTCTAAGTCACTTTCTTTCTGTCTAAAAATAAATAAAGAAAGAAAGAAAATCTTAAAAATAATCAAACAATCCTCATCTTTAAGACCTCAGAGCATCTTTCTTCCTTTTTTTAAATTTTATTTTTAAGTTTTATTTACATATTTTTAGAGAGACAAAGGGAGAGTGAGAAATATCAGTGTATATTTGCCTCTTGTGCTCCCTTCTGGGGACCTGGCCTGCAACCCAAGCATGTGCCCTGACTGGGAATTAAACTGGCAACCCTTTGGGTCACAGGATGGCACTCAATCCACTGAGCCACACCAGGCAGGGCTTTGTTTAAAAAGTTATTTATTTATTTATTTAGTTTTAGAGAGGTGAAGGGAGGGATAAAGAGAGGAAGAGAAAGATCAAAGTGTGGTTGCTTCTCATGCACATCCTACTGGGGACCTGTCCCACAACCCAGGCATATGCCCTGACTGGGAATTGAACCTGCCTCACCTTGGTTTGCAGTCCGGCACTCAGTCCACTGAGCCATACCAGCCAGGGTAAAAACTCTTTTGATTCCTTCCTTTCTCTGGTTCTTTATTTTCTCTCTCTTTGTTCCCCTACCTTTCTCCCTCCCTCCCTTCCTTCTTTCCTGATTCACAGTATATTCATAATATGGTCTTTTTAGAAAAAAATTTAATTAATTGTTGTTCAAGTACAGTTTTCTGTCTTTTACTCCCATCCCAGCCCACCCTGCCAGGTGCTCCCCACCTATAATATGGTCTTTTTACTTAATATATGGTTGACATTCCATGAAAATAGCCTGTAATCTTGGCTTTACATTGGAATCAACAAGGAGCTTTAAAAGTACTCATGAGTCTGGATTAATTGTTTGGAGTGAGGACTGGGCAACAAAATTTATAAGCACCCTCCTCAGGCATTAAAAATCACTGCTTCAGTGTGTATAGACCTGACTCATTGTTATTAATGGCTACATAATATTGAGGCTATGCTAAAATTAATTTACCTATTTCTCTATTGATAAACATTTAGTTTATTTTTAGTACCATGGTTTGCTAAAAATATTTAAAACATATAGCCCTAATCGCCAATTCCTTTATTTCTGTGAAATACAGAGTGGGTCAAAACTAGGTTTATATTCGTTTGCATGGAAAATAATACAATATTTGATAAATAATAATATAAGAATAAACTCTGTGTTTTGCATACTCACAACTGTAAATGTATTTTTGCCCCACCCTGTATAGACCTAGAAGGGGGGATTCCTGGATTGGAGCTATAAGCATTTAAAATTTTGAGGGCACTGCCAGATTATTTGCCAAAAAGGTCTTAATAATACCTTCATCCAGTAGCATTCTACAAGCCTGCGTACACCTTTGCTGGTCTGAAGAGAGACAAAAAAGGATTTGGTTGTTTTTTCACTTACTTCTGAAGTTAAGCATCTTTTCATGCATACTTATTTGTCATTTGCATTTTTCCTGATTCACCTACTTATATTTTCCCCCATATTTAATTGTCATCTCTCCTTCCTTGCCAAATTTTGAAAGGTCTTTGAATAAGAAGATATTGTTCCTTTTTGGTCAGATGGGTTGCAATATTTTCTCCTAGTCTACTATATGTATTTTGAAAACACACATTACATTATATACATTTTAAATTGTTGAGACTGTAAACAAGTTTATCTCAATTTTTATTTTTCATAATATTTTAATATTAGCTGCATACAGTTCTATTCAAGTTCCACTATATTTATTCAGGTTTCAAGAAAATGCCATTGGGATTTTGATGAGAAATAGAAAAGCCGCAAGACTGTTATTTTAAATAATGCTGTAATTAGTATTTTCTGTTTTTTTCCTAGAGATTTTACTTATTTGTTTTTAGAGAGAAAGTAAAGGAAAAAGAGAGGGAGAGAAGCATGGATGTGCAAGAAAATCGTCAATTGTTTGCCTCTGGTATACACCCTGGCCTAGGACTGAATCTGCAACCCAGACATGTGTCCTAAGCCAAAATTGAACCAGCAACGTCTTGCCATGTGGGACGCTGCCCAACCAATTGAACCACATTGGTCAGGGCATTAATATTTACTTGCATTTAGTTTTTTTCGTAGTTTGGATACTTAGAAGATTGCTACAAGTGAAATAATTGAATCAATAACATCAATATTTTAAATAATTTGTTGTAATTAATTTGTAAACTCTGTTGCAGTTTTTAGCCACCTAATCAGTATAGGGAATTAAAGGTAATATAACTTTAGTATTCATATAATAATATGTCTTCAGGGACAAATCATATTACAAAATTAAAAAACTACGTGTCTTTAGTCACTTGTTATCTCTATTGTGCAGGAAGGATTGGATTCTTTTACAGGTTACTTCAGTTCAAATAAAAATATTTTTTGCATGCCTATTGTGTGCAAGGAACCATGCTATGTGCTATAAGGAATAAGTCATATGTGGTTATTGCTTTTAAATAAAATTTCAACTTACCGGAGAGCAAAACTAAATATTTCATTTTTCTTTGCAGTTAAGTTCCAAATAGAAAGGGCAGAGATAGAATTTGCTTGTGTCAGGAAGTTTTCTAAAGGAAGAGTGTCTTTGAGACAGACTTGAAAAATGAACAGTACATAAATAGTCACTGATGAGGTGAGAAGAGTATACTTGATTAGAGGGTTTCCTCTGAGCTGAGGAAACAGAGTAGATAGAGACAAAGATTTTGGAAAGTAAGTGGAGGTAGTATAGCTGAGCAATGGGAACTTGTTTGGCTGGAGAAAAGAATGCATGGGAAAAAATTAATGTGCAGCAGACTGTTGCAGGTTTTGAAGGTACATTTAATTTGATAGAAAGAGTCAAATAGGGAATGATTTTTTATCGGGAATTGTACTTTGAAATATTAATTTAGTGGTATCTGTGGATTAGAATGAAATGAAAAGAGCCAGCTGACTAGTGGCTAAGGGTTTTGGCAACTTATTTATTCTTAAAAATAAAATATTTTATTTATTTACTTTAGAGAGAGGGGAAGGGTGGGAGAAAGAGAGGGAGAGAAACTTTGGTGTGAGAGATGTCAGTTGGTTGCCTGTCCCATGCTCCCAACTGGGGACCTGGCCCACAACCCAGGCATGTGACTTGACTGGGAATTGAACTGGTGACCTTCTGATTTGCAGGCCAACGATCAATCCACTGTGACAAACCAGCCAGGGTGTATTCTCATAAGGCCCACTTATGTCATCTGCGAGACAAGCTCATCCATGCCTGCGCCATAGTGTAGTTTGGTTAAATAGAATGGTGGACATCAGGTGCCTGGTATGGCTCCTGATACATGGTGGGTACATAGGAGCAATTATTATTAGGTTGGTCTTAATTACATAAACTCTAAAATATATATAAACAATTCAGATCAGCATAAAGAATCACTTCAGTTTGTTTGATTCCTGTAATATTAAAGCTGAATTAGTTTTTATTCTCCACCCCCACCCCAAGGTCCTTTGGAAAACTCAGTGGATGGATACATTAAACCAAACAAGAGTGACTGAATTTGTCTTCTTGGGACTTGCTGATAACTGGGTACTGAAGATATTGTTTTTCATGGCATTCACAGCCACATATGTGCTAACTCTATGGGGGAACATTCTCATCATGGTTACCATAGTCTTTACGGAACGTCTCCATATCCCCATGTATTTCTTCCTGAGCAATTTGTCATTTATTGACATCTGCCACTCATCTGTCACTGTGCCCAAGATGCTGGAGGGTTTGCTTTTAGAGCGAAAAACCATTTCCTTTGACAACTGCATTGCACAGCTCTTCTTCCTGCATCTCTTTGCCTGTGCTGAGATCTTCCTGCTGACCATTATGGCCTATGATCGATATGTGGCCATCTGCACTCCACTGCACTACCCCAATGCGATGAACATGAGGGTCTGCACACAGCTGGTCCTTGCACTCTGGGTGGGGGGCACTGTTCATTCTCTTGTGCAGACCATCTTGACTGTTCATCTGCCTTACTGTGGCCCGAACGTTATCGACAGCTACTTTTGTGATGTGCCTCCTGTCATCAAGCTAGCCTGTGCAGATACATACCTCACAGGAGTGCTGATGGTGTCCAATAGTGGGACCATCTCCCTCACCTGTTTCCTGGCTTTGGTCACCTCCTACACAGTCATCTTAGTTTCTCTTAGAAAACAGTCTGCTGAAGGGCGCCGGAAAGCCCTGTCTACCTGCTCAGCTCACTTTATGGTGGTTGTCCTCTTCTTTGGACCATGTATCTTCATCTATACTCGGCCCGACACCAGCTTCCCCCTGGACAAGGTGGTATCCGTCTTTTACACAGTGGTCACCCCTTTGCTGAATCCCCTCATTTACAGCTTGAGGAATGAGGAAATAAAAATTGCCATGAAGCATCTCAGACAGAGACAAGTTTTATTCACAAAAGCATGTACATGATGATCTTGAGATTATAGATATGATTGTGGCCAAATCTTGAATCAGAGAGCAAAAGTAAAGAAACACAAACATTAGGTGAAATGGCAGGTGGCAGGGAAGGTTTTGCATCAGAGAGAGGGACTGTTAACTATTACTTAATGGGAGAAAATAAAAACTCATGGTAGGACATGTAAGGAAAAAGAACTTGGAAACATTCAAAAGCTTCTGATTTCACAAATAAAAACCCACAATTTGTGGCATAGAGCCATTTTCAGGAACTGGTATAGTTCAGAGAGAGCCTATTTTGTTGATTTGTACTGTTCTGTGGGTTATTGACTCTGAGAAGCTGTAAATTACTCATGTATATTATACAGTTTAGTGATTTCAATCTTTAAAAAAAATTGTTGTTTTTCAACTAACTTTGTCCCCACTTTCTTCCCACCATCTCCCTTACCCTATCCATCCCCACTGCCCACATTCAATCCTACCCCCTTTGGCTTTGTCTCTGGGTCCTTTATACAAGTTCCCTGATGACCCTTCACCTTCTTTCCCCCCTTATCCTCCTCCCCCTCCTTTCTGGTTACTTGTTCTAAAATATATTTCTAACGTATTTAAGCCTTTACTTATTTATACTGCATTGCATTTTTGTACTTTTCATAGTGATTTTATTTTGACAACTTCAAGGTTGATATATATATGGAAAGTATGCATTTTAAAATAAACCTAATCAGTGTAAAATTTAGTTACATAAAAGACACCAAATTTAATTGTAAATCTTGACAAGTTTTTATAAAGGCATATATACACCCATATAACCACCTCCCTATTCACGATACAGAACATTTCCAACACTCCACAAAGGTCCTTCAGCCCCTTCTCAGCCAATCTTTCCGTTCCACACAAGCATCCAAGAATCGGATTTTTGCCACTAAGCATTACATTGGTCTTTTCTAGAGTTGCATTTAAATTACATCATACAAAATGTACTCTTCTGTTCCTTCACTTTTTGCTCTGCATGCTGTTTCTGAGGTCAGTCCATGTTTTAGTAGTGTCAGTAGGTTGTTCCTTTTTGTTGTGAGTAACATTTTATTGCCCGGGGTATACCACGATTTGTTAATTCATTCATATATTGGTGGACATTTGGGTGGTTCCAGTTTTTTCCTACTTTTTTCTTTTTAAATTACAGTCAACACACAATATTATATCAGTTTCAGGTATATAGCTCCTTGTTTAGACATTTATATAACATAAAAACAAATATTCTTATAACTCGTAAAATGTAATCACTCCAATAAATCTATTTGACACCATCTATAGTTATTGCAACATTGTTGACTATATTTCCTGTGCTGTACTTCACATCCCTGTGACTATTCTGTAACTACCAATTTGTACTTTAAAAAAATTTTTTTTTATTGATTATGCTGTTACAGTTGTTCTATTCCACCCCTTCATTCCCCTCCACCCTACCCCCTCCGTCCCCACCATTACCCCCCTTTAGTTTATGACCATGTGTCTCAAGTCCTTTAGATTCTATATTTCCCCTACTATTCTTGCACCCCCCATCTATTTTCTATCTACTGTCTCTGCTACTTATTTTTTGTACCTTCTCCCTCCTTCTCCTCCTCCCACTCCCCTGTTGCTAACCCTCCTTGAGATCTTCATTTCTATGTTTCCACTCCTGATCTAGCTGTCCTTTTAGTTTGCTTTTGTTTTAGGTGTGGTTGTTAATAACTGTGAGTTTGTTTTCCTTTCACTATTCATGTTTCTTTAACTTCTTTTTCTTTGATAAGTCCCTTTAACATTTCATATAATAAGGGCTTGGTGATGATGAACTCCTTGAATTTGATCTTATCTGAGAAGCACTTTATCTGTCCTTCCATTCTAAATGAAAGTTTTGCTGGATAGAGCAATCTTGGTTGTAGGTCTTTGGATTTCATTACTTGGAATACGTCTTTCCAGCCCTGTCTTGCCTGTAAGGTCTCTTTTGAGAAGTCTGCTGACAGTCTGATGGGAACTCTTTTGTAGGTGACTGTCCCCTTAGTTCTTGCTGCTTCTAGGATTTTCTCCTTCATTTTAATTTTGGCTAATATAATTATGATGTGCCTTGGTGTGTTCCTTCTTGGGTCCAACTTCTTTGGGACTCTCTGAGCTTTCTGGATTTCCTGGAAGTCTATTTCCTTTGCCAGATTGGGGAAATTCTCCTTTATTATTTGTTCAAATAAGTTTTCCACTGGTGGCTGTTCCTCTCCCCCATCTCATATCCCTATAATTCAGATGTTGGAACGTTTAAAGATGTCTTGAAGGTTCCTAAGCCTCTCATTTTTTTGAATTCTTGTTTCTTCATCCTTTCCTGTTTGGTCATTTTTTTCCTCTTTCTGGTCCACTCCTTTGATTTGAGACCCAGTTTCCTTTCCATTACTATCGGTTTCCTGTGCATTTCCATTCATTTCAATTAGTTTAGCCTTCATATGTTCCTCTAATTTGTGACTATAATCAACCAGTTTTGTGAGTATCCTGATCACCAGTGTTTTGAAGTGTGCATCTGAGGTTTTCTTGAGCTATGTTTTGATCCGTTCGTGCCTGTTATGTATGAGGAGCGGAGCCTTAGTTGTTCACCAGGGCGGGGCCACCCAGGTCACTGGTTTGTGACACTGTATGTGGGGGCAGAATCAGA